CAGAAGCTAGTTCAGAAGGCCCCCTCAATAGTTTCGACGCATGGAGGTAACCAGAAGGCTCGTGTTTTCGCACTTACCCACAAGGAAGCGGCAATGCGAAAGCCATTGTCACAGGTATTTCTATCTTATTATGGGTTCTTGGGTTATACGTGTGGGGTTTATGTCTTTATCCTTGTATTATCWTTCAGRTACAGTCTTAGTCCATAGTGTGCCTACTTACGTATTGTTTGATTCGGGGTTAAGTCACACTTTTATTTCCACTGCGTTTGTTCTTCGAGCAAACCTCGAGCTAGAACCGTTAGGCTTTTTTTTCAGTATGTATGCCCTCAGGGTCAGTTATGATTGCTAGTCAAATGGTGAGAGCAGGCAAGTAATCCTTCGACGATCAGACCCTAACGACAAGATTGATCCAACTGGACATGCGAGATTTTGACATTAAATTGGGCATGGATTGGCTAGCTACCAACCAAGCCAACATTCATTGCTCGAGAAGGGAAGTCTCCTTCCAACTACCTTCTGGTCAGAGCTTTACGTTTAAACGAATTATGGGTGGAGTTCCAAGCAGTCTCAGTGCTAAAAGCCAGGCACTTATTACAGCGTGGTGCTTGGGGTTATTTGACATGTGTCGTCAACACTATTAAGACTACACCCAGTACTGACTTCGTCCACGTGGTCAAGGAGTTCCTAGACGTGTTCCCTGAAGACCTCCCGGGGCTACCCCTAGTTCGTGAACTGGACTTTTGCATCGACTTGTTACATGGGACAACCCTTGTTTCGAAGGCATCGTACCGTATGGGTCCAGCAGAACTTAAGGAGCTTAAGGCCCAATTAGAAGAGCTATTAGACAAGGGCTTCATTCGCCCAAGTGTGTCTAATTGATGTACTCCAGTGCTTTTTGTGAAAAAGAAACATAGATCTATGCGACTTTGTGTTGACTACCGAGAGTTGAATAAGGTGACGACAAAGAATAGGTACCCCCACCCTTGCATCGATGACCTCTTTGATCAACTAAAAGGAGCAAGGGTGTTCTAAGATAGACTTACGATCGAGGTACCACCAGTTGAGAATTAAGGACGTCGACATACCGAAGACAGCCTTCAGGACCAGGTATGGTTATTTTGAGTTTACTGTAATGTCTTTTGGACTCACTGATGCCCCTAAGGCATTCATGGACCTCATGAATCAGGTTTTTAAGGAATTTTTTGACCTCTTCGTGATTGYCTTTATCGAAGACATTTTCATTTACTCCAACACAGTAGAGCAGGACGAAAGGCATCTACGAYAGGTCTTGACTGTCTTGAGGGGAAACAGTTTATATGCAAAGTTCTCGAAATGCGAGTTTTGGTTGAATAAGGTGGCCTTCCTTGGCCACATAGTCACTAGGAAGGGTATTGCCGTGGACCCAGCTAAAAGTAGAGGCTGTCAGTGGTTGGCCAAGGCCTCACACAGTGATCGAAATCCGTAGTTTTCTCGGAYTAGCTGGCTGTTATAGAAGGTTCGTCCAAGATTCTTCCCGTTTAGCATCGCCTTTGACTCAGTTGACTCGTAAGAATGCCACTTTTGCTTGGAGGGATGGGTACAAGAAAAGTTTCCATGAACTAAAGGAGCGGTTGGTGACGGTCCTAGTGCTAACGGTACYTGATGGGATAGAAGGTTTGGTGGTGTACAGTGGGAGAGGGTTGGGTTGCCTTTTGATGCAGCATGGAAAAGTCATTGCCTATGCCTCGCGACAGTTAA